GTTGCGCGAGATGGTACTTCGCTTGGTGCTTTTGGGAGCTTGGGCCATCACGGCCCAAGGCCAGCCACTTGAGCGAGTTGGGCAGGGCTTAGTCGGGCGACAAAGTCGGAAGGGGCACCCCTTTCCCGTGAGCCTTGCAGCACTTCATGTTTTTTTCTGCAAAGCCAAGGCAGTGCGACTGCAGCCCTTGCCAAGAATACCCAGAGGAAGATTTCAGTCCCGATCCCTGCTTCGACAAGTGCATCGTCACGGGAGACCCTCACGTGGAGCACAGCTGGCGTCCAGGATTTGAGAACGGATTCGACTTCCAGCCTCAAGGCATCTGGCGCCTGGCCAAGACGGACACCTGCGGCGGCACAGTGGAGGTCCAGGCCTTCTTCTGCCACTACTTCTTCACCAGACTGAGTGCCTTGACTTGGATACACCTCGCCCTGAAAGATTCCTGAATGAGGTCATGACATGAGGCGAAGGTGCGTTGGAAACTGTATGTGACTGTATGTGTCATCAGGCAGTGCCATTGCCTACGCGATCACCATCAACGGTAACGACAAGTACATCATCAAAAGGGTCGGGGATGAGTTTCAGGTGGGCAGTCCCGACGTGCGGGGCTTCAACGTCAGCTTCGAAGGTGACCCAGTGTCCGGGCGACTCCTGGTCAGTGACGACAAATGCGTGCGCATCAAGATGAACACCGTGCCCCTTTATGACCGTCGGACGAGGTTCCTGGATAACCCCTACCTGAACAATATCTTCATGAACATCTGGGGCTGTGCAACGACGGAGGAAGGCATCTGCGGCGCTCCGCGTCTCGGCTCCGTTTCAGGTCCGTGCAGGTTCCCTCCCTGAGTCAGACTTATCAGAGTATCGCAGAGATTCGGAAGTTGTCCTGTCCCAGGAAGCTCTCGAAGGAATGGATCGACCCTGAGAGTGACGAGAATCTTTTCAAGACCGATGACCAGCCGGATCTTTGGAAAGACCTCTGCGAGTTCTGCCAGGAGGGAGGCTGGGAAACCATGCAAATCAAGTGCCGCTCTTCTGAGATTCTGCTAGTGGCCTGAGGCCAAGCCACCACACCACCGGGCTGCCCAGCACCACCGGGTGGAGAGGAGCCCGGCCAGCCTGGCTGCGAGTTCCTCAGGCCTTTCGAAGCAGCGCTTCGTGGGAGTGAAGATGGGGCCCGTGACGCAGGCCCTATGGCAGCATTTGGGACAAGGAGTGCGTGCCTCAGCCGGGCGATTCGGCCAACAACGCCCTCCTCGAAGAACTTCAAGACGGTGGCGACAACTGCGACTCTCGGCTCAACCCAAGCATCCAAGCCCTGCTGGCTGCGAAGCGCGGCGAAGCGCTTGCTTTCGACCCTGTTGTTGCGAGGTGGCCTTCGCTCGCCTGAACAACGGCCCGAAGTTCCCGGGAAGAACCTGCAGAGACTGGTGCCAGGAGCCTGAGCCATCCTGTCCTCCGCGGTCTGCCTCTGCATGTCGCATCGCAGGACCGCGGCGCGGAGTGCGTGACAGTCCGGGACGACATTGCTACAGGGAAGTTCCCTACCGAGGACAACAGCAACGCCTGCCAACTGACTGAGGCTGACCACCCCAACAACTTCATCGGAGGAGACCCAGAGCGACCCAAGACCTGTGATACGGTCAGCAGGGACACGCATTGCGTGTGTAAGAAGCCCGACAACCCGGCGCACCTTGTTGCAGAACCCTAAAGGCCTAAGAAATCCATAAAGGGACTAAATGGTAATGGTTTTGCTATACGTGGCCACCGGTGGACATAAGATAATGGTCGCAGTGTCGCAGCTAAGGCCAGGAGAGTCAGTGGAGAAGACTTGCTTGGAAGCCCGGGATGAAGCCGGATTTAACTTCTCGCACTTGGATGCGGCAGACCTCTGCCGAAGGGAGGCTATGTGGTTCCAGCGTGTGACCTACCCACGGAACACCGAACAGACCACCTTCGAGCAACGTCTTCTACTGTACTGCGCCCAGGACGTCTGCGCCACGGACCCGGAAGATAGGCCAGA